GTATATTTTATGCAGCCTTTTAACTAAAAAATATAAACATCCAAAATCAAAATGGTGGATTGTCTTTTCAAGTGCGCTATCCGCTTTATGTGGGACAGCACTTGATGAATCCTGGTCGGGGAAGTTTCCACATCAAGAGGAGGGAGTGTGCACGATTCGGATCAGGCAAACATGCTCTTAGGATGCGGCGGCGGCCATCTTAATGAGTTTGCAGCTTATCATCACTCACAGGAGAAAGCAAATCAATCACTTCCTGTGCATGGCAATAGAGGAGAGGAGAGGGAGGAGGGGGGGTGCCAACAGCTGTACTGTCAAGCAACTCGAAAATGTCCAAATGAAGTGCTGTAGTCCTATCAGCAGGCATATTGCTTAGTAGTGGAAGTATTCGTAGCAGTAGTAGTAATAGCAGTAGTAGAAGTAGCATTAGTACTAGCGGAAGTGGTAGTAGTGATGGTAGTACTTGTTGTTGCCGTAATAACAGTGGTTGTAGTAGCAGTAGTATTTCTTGTTGTGGTATTGGTAGGCATATTGGGTAGTAGTAGTAGCAGTAGTGGTAGCACTAGTTTTAGTAGTGGTATATTGCATGGTAGTAGTAGCAGCAGTAACTGAAGCAGTTATAGTGGTAGCACTGGTAGTAGTAGTGGTAGTAGTCATAGTAGTAGTGGTATCAGCAGGCATATTGGGTTGTAGCACATTGTAGTAATAGTAGTGGTAGTAGTAGTGGTGGTGTCGGAGTAGGAGTTATTAGTTGTAGAAGTAGCAGTAGTAGTAGCTGTCGCAGTAGTGGTAGCACTTGTTTTAGTTGTGGTATTAAAAGGCATATTGCATGTTAGTAGTAGCAGCAGTAACAGTCGTAGTAACAATGGTAGGATTGTTAGTTGTGGTGGTAGTGGTATCAGTAGACATACTGGGTAGCAGTAACAGCAGTAGTTACAGTAGTAGTAGTGGCAGTAATAGCAGTCGTAATAGTGGTGGCACTAATTTTAGTAGTGGTATATTGCATGGTAGTAGTAGCAGTGGTAGTGGTGGTGGTGGTAATAGTAATATGAGTGTTCGTTGAGGTAGTAGTGGTATTAGTAGGCATATTGGGGAGTAGTAGAAATAGTAGTAGTAGTGGAAGGAGCAGGAGTCTTAGCATTATTATTCGTCGTAACAGCAATAGCAGCAGTAGTAGTAGGTGTAGTTACTATTACTACAACTATTATCCAAAAATATCAGGGCTTATAAGTAAGTAACTGTTGTAGGACAAGTTGGTGTGATCAGAGTATAGTTAAGAGTACTGCAGCATTAACATAGGTACAATTGCGCTGACAATAACAGTCGTGTGATTGCTGCGACGGGACCATTTCTCGTTGAAATTGCCTCATTATTAGCACGTGTGCCTAATAAACTGGCCACGGAGGAGAATTCCAAAATGTCACCCGACAGAGAGCACATCAGTCTGCAAGTCTTGTTTACCACAACCGCCCCCTGCCAAGGATTTTCCTGAGGGACACTTGTTTTAATAAAATCCGAGCCCCCATATTAAATTCTAATCCATTAGCGTGCCTGGCGAATCTCTGGCCGCGCTTTATCAAACCATCGGAATAGATGAATGTCCCTTCATTATTTCAATAAACAAGCGCTGGTCCTCCTCCCATCATCCTTTGCCAGTCCACACACAACAACACACCTTCCCCTACCAATAACACAGCTGTTTGTTATGGAAAGACCCCGCCAATTTATCGCTAAAAAGGTTGTGTCAAGGGCGTTTTGTCCATACGCGGCTTTATAGTTATGAGGTTATACTGAATAAATCATGGTTTTGTCTGTTCAGAATGACGGAGCATTATGGGACTATTTTTAGAGAGAGGTTGTAATAAATATATTTAAGGCGTTTTCCGGCGGTCTGATGGATGCCGTGTCTTTTTCTTAATTGCAGGTCACGACCCTCATTTTGAGTCTGGATTACTTCTCTGTAGCCATAGCGATCTGCATATATCGGTAGAGCGTTTTCCATTTGCAAGCCACTTTATTGGTACAGTCTGTAGCAGTGTGATCACGGTTGTGGACGAAAGCTCATTTGTGTTTGGGTACTGCTGTAGTCTGATATAAACTCACTGCTCATTTTTTACATCCTAACGTCCTTCTTCACTACATTGAGTTTGTAAGTGCTATTCACGACCATCATACCAATGCCAATAACAACCAGAATACTAACAGAGCACCAGTATGACTTCATAGTTTGCGGAAGATAAAAAAAAAAACAAAAAAAACATAACAAACAAGGCTATATTTATATGATTACGGTATGAACAGAAGACCAAAAGTGGCGTAGCGTCTTCACTTTTTATTCTGTGTTTAGACAAGTGTTTTCGGGAGGAAATCTGCGTGCATACGGTGACGCAAAAGTGTGAGGAATTTGATTGGGTGTGCATGTCAGGTGGCTAAGCGGTGACGCTAGGTGGTGATGTATGTGACATAAATGCGTACGCGACGTGAGCAGATCTGACCAGAGTTTTGCGTCTTGGGCAGTGTAGATGGAAATGCTACGGTGGAGCATATTCAACTTTTCTACTCTGGAGGGTGGTTTCAGATTTTTTAGCCCCAAAACGCCGTCACTGTTTAAACAAAACGCACTTCCGATGTTGTCACTGACTCTATAAGCTGCATTTACAATATGTACAAAGGCAAACTAATTTTACTTTATCACATAGAATAAAATCAGGCAACTCCCCTTTAAATTAACTTTTGGCAACAAAATGTTATTGGTTGGGCCGAGCGCAATAGCTATCAATTTCTTGTCAAATTTTCACAGTAGCCAAGTTGAGCCAAGCTGTAAGTTTGCAGAAGCTCAGTAGGTAGAGTTGTCTAGAACATTGTTTCCCAAAGACTGGATTGCAAGAGAATTTTTTGGGTCACCTGAAATGCGCCTGGTATGTGTGCGGATATGGAACGCACTACAAAAACGCAGACAGGCCCATCTCAGAAATGTTGACATGTTTTGTATAATTTCTAATCTCTTTGTAATTATTTTGTTGATTGTTTTGTGCCATTATTGCTGTTTCAATTGGATGTTGAAAAGAAAAAGAAATGTGTCCAAATAGGCAACGTATGAATAGCTTTTATTACTGGTTTAATTATTGTTTTTCATTGTTTAAAATGTGAGTAATACTAATTGTTCAGAGAGACACGATCACTCAGTCAACAATAAAATATCCTCATTAATGTTGAATAAATGGTCAAATCCACCTTTTATTTTGTGATTGACAAATAATGTCTATTGACTTGGGTCGCAAAGGTTTGTGCCTTTTTAAAATATGGGTCCCCAGGAAAAAAAAAAAAGTTTGGGAAACACTGGTCTTGAAGGTTTGGCACTTCTAGCATTGCATACTATAGATGTGTCCTTTGGCAAAACACTTTCACTTTTTCCCACAATGTTTTTAGAGCAGTTTCAATGCAGTTGGCGATAGGTTTACTAGCATTTTGTGGTTTGCTCGGTCTTACCACCTATATAAAACAAATTACAATCTAACTGGCTGTTATAATATCGTTAAAACTCACAGTAAACTTGCCTTATAAAGCGTTCCTAATTTTTGCATAGTCAAGTGTGCGTTTGGGCAGTTTAAACAGTGTCCAGAGCCTCTTGTATTGCTTTGGGGCAGAGGACTATCACGAGGGCTTTTTTAGGAACTGGCCCTAGTGCCACGAGCCCGGGTGAGGAGCAGGACATCGATAACGGGAACTGGCGGCGGAGTGGATAATTAGCTTTAAAAGGGAACAAAGGATCAATAGCCTGCTTTTTACCACCAGTTTGGTCAGGGGAGAGTCGCAAGGAGGCTCCCCAGGTCCGGCGGCTCTTATTCGGGTGACACGAGGACAACACCGCCCCCCTCATCCATCAGCTCCGACATGGGGACTGATAGAATGGATATACTGTAATAGAATGCACACTTTCTCTTTTTTTTTTTTTTTTTTTTTTTAAACAGTATTCTGCTGATATGGTGAGGCTCAGGGACTAGACAAGCAACTTTAGCGCAAATAATGAGTAGATGCTATAATGCGGTATGGTCCCCTAAAGAATGTATATTATTTTGCTTAGGTACACGCATAAGCAACTTGAGTTTTGTGCTACATATTCATTTTCGGTCACCAGTTATCACCAGTTAAGTGTTAGTATTGCAAATTCTCATTGGTCCAGTATTTATTACAAAACAGAAGACTTTTAGATTAATGGTGGGATTCATATAGACGCATAAATAAGTGTTGCTTAAAGGTCCTGTATTACACCAAAGTTGACTCTTGTGAGCTTTAGGATATGTGAGAATATTGTTACCTCATCAAATACAGAAGTAGAGTTGTGTTTCTTATTCACACACATTTGAGTAATCCTTTATTATCAGTGTCTACATCTCCAAAGCTCAAAATGCTCTGTTTCACCTTGTGATGTCATGAAGCGGTAGTTTTCAAGTCAACAGCTACCTATTACCTTTTGTTCAGCAGAAATAGCTCAACTTATGTTAAATATCTCCTTTAATAATGGAGTTCATATAAATAGTGCTCTAACGTCTTGGGTTCTTTTAAAAGACAACACAGTAAAGTGTATTTACCTTATTGACATGTTTTAGCTGCTAGCTGCAAGCCGTCTTCACTAGTGTTGGTGGTGACGTGTTGTATATCAGCTGTTGTTACTTCCTGTAGGTGTGGTCAGCCTGATGAACCTGGCAGGTCGCTCAGACTGACCACGCCTCCCGTCGCCTGGTGTTCTCTGGAAGAGGGTGTTCCAGGTGTGTGAAAGGAGGAACGCTCTGTCATCACTGTTAATGCTGTCCGCGCCTCGTTTCCTGATTTCACCGTCCTCCCTGATCCAGCGTTTGCACTTGTTGTTTTTTGATCCAATGACCCATGCCTCGTCCCAATCCATAATGTGATTATTTCTTTTACAGCGGTTTGAAAAGGTGGATTTTTCCGGTTTTGCTCTGTCTTTTTGTGTTCTGAGTCTCCCTGATGTTTCCTGCCAGGTCCATCAGACTGACCACGCCTACAGGAAGTAACAACAGCTGATATACGTCACGTCCCCACCAACACTGGTGACAGTTCTGAAGATGGTTTGCAGCGAGCAGCCGAAACATGTGAACAAGGTAAATACACTTTACTGTATTGTCTTTAAAAAGACCCAAAGAAGTTAAAGTACATAAGAAGACAAAATTAACATATTTGGCTTAATAAATAAATGTTGCATAAATGCGCACTATGTAACTTTTCAGATGAAGGGTCCACCACTTACATATCATTGGAGATATTCTTGCTTTTCCTCAAAAGTTCCACTGTATGGAATTCAAAAATAACTATCTCTTTGAAGATATGTCCAGGATTCCATCAGGACCAGTTCAAAATCTGTGTAGAGGTGGCCTCTCAACTAAAAACTGACAGTATATTAGGTAAATAAGTAAATACCCAATGCAAGAGTTAACATAAATTAACATAATATAGATTTTCTTCCATTAAATTATCTTGTTTTCAGAAATGCTTCCAAAAATATATACACAGACAGTATATACGCTACCAAAGACCGGAGAAGTTCAAAGTTGTGTTTGCGGATTGCAGATGGGGTCAGTGTACAAGGCGGTCACAGAGGTCTCGTATGCATCTTCAGTTCTGGAAACAATACTATCTGATGTTTTGAACAACAACAGCATATACACTGATGCCCCCAAGCAATACTCAATAACACTATGATCTTTTTAGGGGCAAAGGGCAAATGTAGAATGGATACTGTATCATTGCACACTTCTATCTCAAAAGGTTAAAGGTCCTATATTATGTAGAATCGACTTTTGTGAGCTTTTGGCCATGTTATAATGCTGTTAATGTGTGAGTAATGTGTGAGTAATCCTTTATTATTAGCCTGTCTACATCTCCAGAGCTCAAAATGCTCTTGTGCACTACCTTGTGATGTCAGGAAGTGGTAGTATTCATGTTAACAGCTACCTTTTACCTTTTGTTTAGCAGGGACGAGAAATTCCAGATGTGAAATGATCCAAATGATTCTAGTAAAGGTGTATGGAGTTTAAAAACCCAGTGGAGCAGTTCCTGTATTATCATATGGCATTACAAGGTGGAACAGAGTGTTTTTAATTTGAATCGGGCTTACACTGTGCGATTTTTGGCGCTTTTTGAGACGATGTTTCACTTGTGTGACTGTTTTTGGTCCGGATTTTTTGGGATCACGATTAAGTCTTCATTTAATCATGTGTTGTGCTTTGTGTAGTAAACATCAGGTAACGAGAACCGATTAATACCCGACGACCAGCTCCTGATCGGCAAACGTATGTTGCAAGAATACCAAACCTGTTTGAAATCCCGCCTCCTGTTCGTTTAGTGTGAGAACATGACTCGTGAACTTTTAAACCCTGCAATTTGGTCATACAGTTTGAGCTGGAAGCTGACTGAAACAATCGAAAATATCTCACTGTGTACGTCTGGCATTTAAAAAAAGGCCTAAATATGCAGGGCTTGTTAAACATGTGTGAATGAAACAAAACACAACAAATAATATGGGCTCTTTAACCTTATGAGCAGGTGGAGTGAATTGCAAAGATTTAACTTCAGAGCACTGACAACCAGCAAGGATTTTAGCAAGTTTCATCAGACTGATTACTTGCTTTTTTCCCGTCAGTTTGCAATTGTCCAATTCCAACTCCTGAAATACATTTTTTGAATATGTCTTTTCAACTTTCGCCTCCTCTTTCAGGTGATCCTTGATAAAACCCAAACAGGAAAATGGGCTTTTGTTGCTCCAAATTGAAAAGCGGGTTTTCATCATCTGCATGTTTTATCTGCAGATCCAGAGTGATGAGTTTCATTGATGGGAACGACTAAAGAAAAACTCTGCAATAATGAGCGGAGAAGTGCCATGGACTCAGACCTGGACTCAAAGGTACGTCTGGAGATAACGCTAAAGACTGTTATTGTTTAAAGGGCCCTATTTAGTTTTCTTCTTAAAAAAAACATAAGTGGAGTTGTGTTTTGTTTCATTCACAGAGAGCCTGCACATTTGGCTGAGTTCTTCTTTCAAACAAAAAAACTCTGTTCCACCTTGTGATGTTACTGTGTTTTAAAACTCCATACACCTTCATTAGAATCATTTTTGATAAGTTCAGCCCCAGAATTGTCCATTTCTACAGAACAAAAAGTAAAAGGTATCTGTTTACTTGAAAACTTAAGATACTACATGACATCACAAGGTGGAACAGAGCATTTTGAGTGAAATGTAAACAGACTAATAATAAAGGTTTACTCAAACATGTATGAATGAATGTTTTTTGAGGAGTTAACAACATTATAACATGTCTTAATTTTGACATTTTGCCTAATATCAGACCTTTTATATGGCTGTGCATGATTCATTGGTCATTACTCAAGCCAAAATGGATTTTATAATTTTATTTGGGAATATTTTTTTCAGTTTTCATTTTTTTTTTTTTTTTGTAAAATGGTGTGGTAATTATGATAAAATTCCCTGTCAATATTATTCAACCAAAAATAATTAGGCAATTAAGTCAGTGTTATCTGTAAATTTGAATTTGGCCCATCCAGATAATCAAGCGTGCTCTCAAACATATTAGCATAATTATGACATTATGATTGGTGGTGTTTAGACATACACAACCAGTCGATAGTTTGCACACACCCTCTCGTTCAGTGTGGTTTTTCTATCTATGTGCATTTTTGAGACGTACAGTAGAGTAGTAGTAGATTTGATGTCCTCTCTATGCATATAAAAAGTAAACAAGTAGTAAAAATTAAGAAGAAAATATGGAATACGAAAGCTTTCAGAAATATTTGTGTGCATAGGATAGAAATCTGCGCATATTTGGCTGTAGTTGAGCATAAAATAAATATTCATAAACTCTCGAATGAGTTCAGTCGTACATAAAATGTGTTGTGTGTATTTTATCCATCAGAATCTGAAGTGAATAATACAAACACAAATTCACATATGTGACTCTACTGTCAAAAGTACGTCATCACTTCACGGGCATTATTTATTGAGCGGAAGAAACATTGATCGATATGCCGAACTTTTTCGCTGCATACGGACTGAACCAGGACTAAAAGAGGGCTAAACCAGGAATAAACTAGGACTAAACCAGGACTAAACTAGGATTAAACTAGGACTAAGCCAGGACTGAACTATGATTGAACCAGGACTAAACCAAGACTAAACCAGGACTGAACCAGGACTGAACCAGCAGGACCAAACCAGGACTTAACTAGGACTTAACTAAGACTAAAACAGGAGACTGGACTCATTCGAAATATGCCACGGATTTCTATCCTATGCACACAAATATTTCTGAAATCTTTCATACTCAGTAGAAAAAAAACAAACAAACATTGAAAGAGATGGTGTGTCCAAACTTTTGACCTGGACTGCCTTTTCCCTGGTAAACAAAGTGCTCATTCTTACATTTTTACTTAATTTAAATAGAACAAATAACTTCAAACGTGGCTGCGTATGGACAATAGAAGGCAACAACAGAATGCTAACCACTCTGCCACGGCGCATTCTTAAATTATATTGATTATGCTTTGTATATTTAGTCCAGTTACACAGAGTGGCAGCTGTCAAACTTAACAAAGCTTTGATCCTGATCATTTGGCAGCGGTATTTGAACCAGGCCCGGCGTCCATTTTGGATCTGCTCCTTTACACTCCTCCAAAGGTCACTGCCCCTCATCATCACATCACGACGTAGCCAACTGTAAACGGGCCAAATGTAGCGCCATTAGTAGTTAGCACGCGGTCAGCAGAATAACAATGGCACTATTTGGGGTTAGTTACTGTATGCTAGTCATTTTGTCTTTTTTTTTTTAAGATTCAACTTATCCAACCATGGAAGCTGAAATTTGCATTGTGTATTTTTTTTTTCCTGTTGGAGGGCTCGCCAAATGTTTTCTCCGTGGAGATATTGAACCTTTATAGCTTCATGAAGACCAAACCAGACGAAGTTACAGGTCAGATCTGTGGAGAGGCGACCCTGCTCACAGTCAGAATGCTTGTTTTTCTAGGTAATTTTGAGCTATAAAACCACCTGTATTTGAATAAATATAAGGTAGAGCTGTTTAATGTCATACTGTGGAACATTCAAGGCAGAGCAATGACATCCAAAGAAACAAGCAGGTGCCAGACTCTCCACCAGAAAAGTTCCACAATGTGCCTTTAATTAACTTCTCTTTTCTCATAGGCTCTGTTATAAATCAATTCAAGTACTGTACTTTTTTTTTTTTCACCTTTCCATATGTTCCTTATCAGAACTGACAGAATTTGAGTAGTTTCCCATTTTATTGTTAAAAAGACAGTGCCAATAATATCTTGTACGCTCTGAACACTAAATCCACTTTTTTGGTACTTAACTGTGAACATCGTGTTTGAATAGCTTTATCTACAGTTTCTAGTAAATTTCAAGCTTTTTGTTAAAAAGAAAAAAAAATCTTACCTAATTTTGTGCTCTACGATTTCCAGTAGTTGGTGACATCACAAAAAATTTGCCTTTAGTTACAGACAGACGTTATCGATTCCAAACATCTTGCTGCAGGGGCGGAGTTTGAAGTATGGATACCTGTTATACCAATCACTCTGTAAATAAACAATAATACTGAAACAACTTTATACCACTGACACAAAGCAGAATAATCCTACTAATAAAAGTTTTTTGGTGAAAGAATAAATTCCATTATTGTCTTTTTTCTCCTACCTTAGAGGCTCTACACTTCGCTTTCCTAACTTTTGTAATGTTTTTGCCAAAGCCTCTGAGTCCCATTTGCTCAAAGATGTCCTGAAAAGTGTCCAGTCGACTTTTCCAAACAAGATGGTCTCTTCTGGTTTGTTGTGTGGGGTCTCCAAACAGTAGAAATAATCTGTCTTTGTTGAAGACCCCTGTGAGGACTTTCGAGGACTTGGTTTCTTTTCTTTTCTTTTTTTTTTTTTCTTACTACTTTTACTGGAACAAAGTGTTTTCAGTTTGAGGGAAGAACTCAGCCTAAATATGCAGGGTTTGTGCGTTTAACATGTGTGAATGGAACAAAACACAACTCTGAGCATGTCTTAGATTAGAAAAAAAACATTGTAACATAGATCAGAAAATGGCGTAATATGGGCTCTTGGAGTAAATTAATACTGAGGAAAACTTATGCTAATAGAAGTTGATGAATATGTCTCCTATAAGTACCCCATAAGTATTCTGGATCTGTTTTGGAGATTTGCACAGATGATTGTCTGGTGCAGGCTGTATCAGATTGCATTGTGTTGAAATAACAAATAGGTCTTCTTCCGTCAGCCATTTGATCCTCTGGTAAATACTTTATGCGCTTCTGTGTTTTAATATGAGTTATGAATGTGGTTCAATGGGTCAAAATGGAGGCATCTATTTTCGGCAAGAACTCAACAATGAATTCTTGTATTTCAGCCTCTCTCAAATGTTCAAGGGTGTGTATACCTCCAGACCCAACCCTTTTGTGCCTTTAGTCTTCCTAGTACTGCTCAGTGTAACAACTCTATTTGAAATGTGGTTGTGGGTGGAGTTCAGGTGTCAAAGGTCCTATATTACATGAAATTGACTCTTTTGAGAGAGGGTTAAGCCGAGTTAGAATGCTATTACCTCATCAAAAACAAACCCGGAGTTGTGCTTTTGTTTCATTCACACATTGGAGTAATGCTTTAGTACTAGTTTATGTACATTTCCAAAACTCAAGTTGCTTTTTTACCTTTTGTTCAGCAGAGATTGGAAATTCCAGGGCTGAAATTATCCTCATCCATTCTAGTAAAGGTGTATGGTTAAAAAAAAAAAAAGCACAGTGGAGCACTTTCTGTATAATCACAAGGTTGAACAGGGTGTTTTCTGAAAGAAGAACTGAGCCTGTATGCAGGATATGTGTGTACAATGTGTGTGAATGAAACAAAACACAACTCTAGGTATGTTTTTGATGAGGAAACGACATTGTAGCAGATAAAAAATACAGTAATATTGTCCCTTTAAATAAGTTTCCATTGCGTTATTTCTCTCAAGCTTATCACCCAATCAGAAAGCAGAATAGTTTTCCCTTTTTTGGTTGCCACATTCTACGTAAAACCTGTTTACAATACGGTTGAATGGTCTCTTTTTCCTCAGTATATGACTGCTGAAGGCGTCTAAGGTTCAGCGATTGTATAGCCGCATTAAACCAATACAGACCCACATTATAGCTCTTACCTAAAGTCAAAGAACCCAATTAAATGTCTCTATTCTTCCACAAGTATAGTCAAGTCCCTATAGGTTTTATTGTCAGAAACCTTTCGTCGCAATTGAATACCTCTTTACCACAGGTCAAACTTGTCTGTAGCTTTCTTTTATTGCAAAGTGGAAAAAATCAGCTTTACAACGTCATCTCTTTTACTCTCCTCTCTTTGTCTTTCCCATCAAACCCGGACGCTACATCCTGATGGCGAACCCGATTTTTTTTTTTGCACTCATGGTTTAATTTTGGCGTAATTGAATAAGCCTCGCGTCCCCTGGTACCTTACACATTTATATAGAGTCTATAATGGCGTCCTGACAGTTAGATGAGTTGCTGGCCTCTCCAGCGTATTCGTTTGGTGCTAATTCTCTCCTGTTAACACATTTTACCATACTAAATGAGATCTAATGCACACTGATGATTTGTTCCCCGGTGTTTGCCGCAATTCGCAGAGCCTTAAGTCAGGTGCATACTGATAAAGGGCTGGAGAAATGAAAATGCTCGAATGACAATAGAACAGAATACACAGATGCCGTTTAAAAATGATTGTTTACGATTGCGGCAGCGTTTTGAGTAAAACCATCGACTGCATTTTTGAAAGAAATTATTTAACGTGAGTACGCTGAAGTATGTATTGAAGAAGTAAATGCACTATTACATT